GGTCGCAGCGCCCCCCCCCGACCGAACCGTTTATTTTTTTCCTCTTCTAGTCGGGGGATGGGGGGGGGGCATTTTTTAAGCGGAAAATGCTAGGATGACCAAGAGTAGGGGGGGCTGCGGAGTTAAAGAAAGGGTAGACGGGCCCTCCCAGTTACCGAGTTGTTCAGGACGTTCTCTCGGGTAACGAATTTTGAAATTACAAAATGCCTGCCGATATAGACTCAGACCGAGCTATTTATAGAAGGAGTAATGGACTGCCGGATTAAGAGCTGGATTGTTGGGATTGTGTACTTATATTGACCTAGTCAAGAGAGAAGTTTTTGAATGATTTAGTTAGAAATGCATCTTTGTGCCTTACCTCAAGAAATGGCTTCAAATAGGTTTTCCGTTTTCTTTCCCTTTAAAACTTATTTTATTGTGGTATGTGTAAAGCGCTTCCTATGAGTGGGGGTAAGGAATTAAACTGTCAATTTGTTACAATATCTTATTAAAAAAAGAAAGTCATTTTTACAGACCTAAATCTGCCCCCTCTCACCCCCTCCCCCCAACACTCTTGTTTTTCTATGATTGAAAAGTGTTGAATTCTGGGATTTTGCCAGCAATTAATTATTCTGAAAATGGAGGAAGGGTGCTTTGGGGATGAAAAGCCCATCTTTTAAATAATCACACGCGGAGATAGCTGTGGAGTTGCTTGCCATATACAGAATGGTCTGGCAGCCACTTAAACACCTTTAAGTATTTAGGGTAAGGGCTTTGAGTTAGAGCAAAGTGGTGGCTAGTTTATGAAGGGAAAACTAGATGTTAAGAGAAGAGCGCGTGGTTGAGTTTTGAAGGGAGGGATACTAGAAATGTCACTGGAGAAATTTAACAACTTTGGAGAGAGCCTTTTTAAAGCTGCCACTGTTAGGTCCTAAGGCAGTATTGTAGGCAAAGGTATATCCAAAACAAGTTATCTCCACGTAATCTGTTCTAAAACAGAAATATTAAGAAATTGAGGGTAGGTGGGGAAAGGGTTTCCTTGGTAGGAAAGACTTGTTACTGTTGTTGCTCAGAACAACTACACAATAAATTTTTAGCAGTACCAGTTTTATTTTGATTGTATTGTTTGGAAGAAAATTTAAGAGACTGGAATAAAGACTGAGTGGTAACAAAAGTTAATACACAGAAGCAAGAAAAATTTTCAAATCTGAGTGACTATCAACTTGGGTTGGGAGAAGGCTGTAGTTAATGTATTGAGTTATTTCCTAAAGTGGAATAAGGAACACCAGTCTACAAGGAGGGCATTTCAGATAATGTCTTTTTTAGTGAGGTTGTTGATTTAAATCTTTTAAAAATTATTTGGTGTCATCTATCAACATTTGAACTTTTAATGAGAGATTCATCTCAATTTCTTTACCTAGAAATTGCTACCAGTGAGAAAATTTACGTGTGTCCTCTTTAGCCTTCAGCCTGAGCTGCTCCTTAACTGGGAAGCAGAAGGTCATTTTCCCTCTCTGTAGTTGGTTAGTTTGAGGTTTGCCCTCATGACTTCAGGTGTTTTTTTGGTATCCTATTGAAGCCTAATTCTGCTGAAGGACGACTGGTGCACTTTCAGCAGTTCCCCTTAGAACCATTGCCAATTGAAGGAATCTTCCTCATCCTGAGAGTCAGCAGAAACCTGACCATTAATGAGAGCCGACTGGAAAGTCGCCTTCCATACTCTTTAACAGAACCTGAGCTGTTAATGGGTGATGTTACTGCAGTTGTGCTGAATGTATACAAGCCTGCCAACTGAGAGGCTGTCATTTAAGGAAGAGTCTGCTTGAAAACATTGATAATGGTGAACATAACAGGGAAATAGTTCTCCTGTTTTCCTCCTTTCATTTGGTCATGTTTGCATTTCAGTTTTTGGCTTTCATCACCCCCTCCACCAGTGACCAAAGACTTGACCACTCAAAGTCCAGCTCCCCAGAATACTGCTCGACATGGATACCGGTGTGATTGAAGGTGGATTAAATGTCACTCTCACCATCCGGCTACTTATGCATGGAAAGGTATGCACCAGCTTGGGAAATTGGATCATAGTAACTGTTAGGGGAGGGGCCAGGAAGAGAGGGCATGTATCTTGGAGCTCATCAGATTAGCACTGTGGGGTGTCTGGCTTTAGCACTCTTCTCTAGCAGAGTAGATGAGAGTGTAGTGGGAAAATGAACAGACTTCACTGGGAAGCTCCACTGAGCAGGAAAGGCTTAACTAGAGCCTAGAGCCAACTACTATGTCATACCTGGATGGTAAGATTTTTGTGATAGAGGTTGTTATAGTTTGTGATAGGTAGATTTCTCCTGCCCAATCAATTTTGGGAAACTTTACGGGGGGGGGGTAAGATATATATATATATATATATATTTAATAACTTACATTGAACACAAAGATAGCATTTAATCACTCCTGTGTTACATTTCTTATTCTTTGAGAGCTTTACTTAAATTTAGAGCAAAGAAGAATAATCCCGCTCACTCTCCCAAGAATTCTCAGTTTTTTCATTACTTTGGACAGTTAAAAATTCCTTTACATGATAATGAACACTTCGAGTTTCCTCTTATTTGACACTCGTTTTCTCCATTGCAGGAAGTTGGCAGTATCATCGGAAAGGTAAGATAGTTTCACTTCAACTCTAATTACTATTTAGTCAGTCTGGGTTGAAATAGCAGTTTGAACTCACTCTTGATTTTTCCTCTTACAGAAAGGAGAGTCAGTTAAGAAGATGCGCGAGGAGGTGAGTTATGGGAGGATTTGGGGAGCTGTTACCTTGGGAAGTTATAAACTTAAAAGCAGAAATTCTGTTTAAGGAAGGATAAGAAGGGGGAAGGTCTCAAGAGAAGAAATTGGTATTTTTCTTGCTTGGTTATTGGTGATCACAAATAGTATGCTGGGAAATGTAGTTCTAGCAAGTCTCAATTTATTCAAAACTTCAGGCAACTTTTTCTTTTTAACTTACTGATTTTGAAAGAGAGAGAAACATGAATTTGTTGTTCCACTTATTTATGCATTCATTGGTTGCTGCTTGTATTCTCCCTGACTGGGGATCAAACCCACAACCTTGGTCTATCAGGACAATGCTCTAACCAACTGAGCTACCCGGCCAGAGCTTAAGGCAACTTCTGCAGTCTGAGGGCAAACATAGAACAGTATTTGAAATGATGTGGACATTGCCTTGTATCAAGATCATGTATGCAGGCAGCTTTTTGCCTATTTTATTTAGGAGGGTCTATATATCTATATGCTCAGATTTTTCGTCTATTTAACCTCTTGATTCTGTTTCTTATCCAGAGTGGTGCACGTATCAACATCTCAGAAGGGAATTGTCCTGAGAGAATTATCACTTTGGCTGGACCCACTAATGCCATCTTCAAAGCCTTTGCTATGATCATTGACAAACTGGAAGAGGTTTGTTGTTCTCCCTCCTCCCTCATCCCCATTCTTCATTTTTTTAATATACATATATCTATTGATTTCAGAGATATGAAGGGGGAGTGGGAGAGAGAGAGAGAAACATCAATGATGAGAGTTAATTGATCGGCTGCTTCCTGCACTCCCCTGACTGGGGATCGAGCCTGCAACCCAGGCATGTGCCCTGACCGGAATCGAACCACAATCTCCTGGATCTTTTGTTGATGCTCAACTGCTGAGCCACTCCCGGCTGGTCCCATTCTTCATTTTCAATTGCTTCTAGATAGATTAGTGATTTTTCAAAGGACTTTTTAAATTCAAGGACATTGTGGATTATAAAAACTGTAGATGGGTTCTTTGCTCCCCTTCAGCATCCCCAAAATTTTGATTATTTATAGTTTAAAATATAAGTCACTTGAGTTTTAAAACGAATAGTTTGATTATTACCAGGGACTCACTGTAAAAAAAAAAAAAATTGTGTGAAAAAGCAGCATCTTTTATTTTATTATTTTTTTAAATATGTCTTTATTGATTTTAGAGAGAGGAAGGGAGAGGGAGAAAGGAGAGCTAGAAACATCAGTGATGAGAGAGAGTCATTGATCGGCTGCCTCCTGCACGCCCCTAACTGGGGATCGAGCCTGCAACCCAGGCATGTGCCTTGACCGGGAATTGAACTACAATCCCCTGGATCTTTGGTTGATGCTCAGCTGCTGAGCCACGCCCAGGCGGGCTATTTTTATTTCTTGACCACCAGTTTTTAAGGTATGCCATCACTGCATTGCTAAACTTTATGTCCTTGATTCATACATAGTTGAGTGAACTAGATTAATGTGCTTTTATTAGGGGCCCTGCTGAACCCTAATATATCCCATAAGTACACCTATCTTCCAACCTTGGGTGCAGTTATATTTTTTTTTTAAAGTCAGTCTAATAATTCTGTGTCGGAACTGTACTTTGAGAGAAGGAATATGTTTTATAGGTTATCAAGCAAAATACAGATTTTAGGCTTTTTGGCAAAAGGAAGTTTGTTTTGTTAAGCAACCTCACCCTTCGGAGGTGCTGAACAGCCATTAACCATCACCCTATGTCTTAAGGCTTGGCTTCCCCTCTCTCCTCCAGTAATACTGCTAATCTCTAATTGACACCACAAGCAGAGGAGAGCTTCTGGCTGCTGCTTGATTGGTCCTTGGATACTTAATGGTGGCTGAAATCTTACCCTTGTGAAGATCAGAAATGTACCTTTTGACCTGTAAGACACTGCTAATCCAGAACTCGTGGCTTAAAAAACATTAAGAAAGCCTACTGTTCATACTTGAGTCAAATAAGAGAAATGTCCTTGACTTTAAGATTTATGTTTATAATCAGTTCCCAGATCTAGCTACCATATAGAGGTTAAGGCTGAGCAGTGATACTGAAACCAGCTAATCTTCAGAAGGCTAAATTTAACTAGGTTAAAACCATGACTTTTTGGATACAGCATTGTTACAGGAAAGACTGGGCTTTGGAGCCAATACAGTTTAATTTCAAATTACAACTTTTTAGATGTGATTGGGGTAAGGACTCAGATTCAGTTTCACTATCTGTACAATGGTAGTATTACCAAGAAATTGAAAAAACAGTATCTAGAAAATATACTACTTAATCTTTCTAAGTTTTTAAGAGGACAGAATTGGTTATTTGCATTTGGGATTGCATTGTTTCACCTTTTAATAATTTTTTTTTTTTAATATATGTTTATTGATTTCAGAGAGAGGAAAGGAGAGGGAGAGAGAGAGATAGAAACATCAGTGATAGGAGTCATTGATCAAGCCCACAAGCCAGGCATGTGCCCTGACCAGGAATTGAACCCCAATCGCCTGGATCCTAGGTCGACGCTCAATCGCTGAGCTGTGCTTGGCCGGGCTCACCTCTTAATAATTTTATTTAATTTTGACTTCTATCATGTTTTCCTTTGGCCAGTCAACTCTTAATTTCCAAAACTAATCATTGTTTTTCTTCCTCTACCAAGAACACTTCCCCCAGGGTGAATAAAAGTAGTATATATAGGGCCAATTCTGGGGAAGTTTGTAGATATTTTTATCGTTTCAGAAATAGTTTTGAGGGCAACATTTTTGGTCATTTGTTAATGGTGGATTGTTTAATATATGTGTATATATATATATATGTATGTATATATATGTCCCTTATTAAGGGTAAGTGGTTCTTTTATGGCAGCTATGAGTTCCCAGGGATTTGCTTAAAACTTGCTATATTCTGGCCCTAGCCCGTTTGGCTCAGTGGTTAAAGCATCGGCCTGCAGACTGAAGCGTCCCAGGTTTGATTCTGGCCAGGGGGCACGTACCTCGGTTGCAGGCTTGATCCCCGCCCCAATGTGGAAGAAAACCAATCAATGTGTCTATCTGTCCTCCCATCCCCACCCCCCCTTCCACTCTTCTGAAAAGCAATGGAAAACAATATCCTCAGGTGAGGATTAATAAAAATAAAATTTGTTATATTGTGGTGGTCTAATTTCTCCTTGTAGGACATCAGCAGCTCTATGACCAATAGCACAGCTGCCAGTAGACCCCCAGTCACCCTGAGGCTGGTGGTCCCTGCTAGTCAGTGTGGCTCTCTCATTGGGAAAGGTGGTTGCAAGATCAAGGAAATACGAGAGGTTGGTACTTTTGTGCTCCTTTTTGAATTAAGTATTGTAAATGCGGCTTTTTCTCTTAGCTATAAGTATGACTAGAAAAGTTAGCATTTGTTGAGGTGAAGATTATTATTAAAATAACAGTCCTAGAAGATTGCAATTTGATTATATTGGGATGAAAAGTATTGTACAATTTATTTTTCTTAAACCATATATTTTAAGAATAAATCAGACTGAATAAGTTAACCCAAATTTCCAACTATTTCATATTACTTGTTATCCATTTTTAGTTAATTTGGCAACTTTTTCATGAATCTGCATAATTCTTTTTCGTGTCTAAAGAGTTTACAATTTGTTATATAATAGTAGCAAATATTTTCCTTGGCCAAATTTCTAAATAGTGGGGGGAAGATGGGAAGGTATATTGGGATGTAGTGGTAATCTTGCTCTCTTTTAAATTATGGAAGTTACATTGAATTATGGAAGCTTTTGACTGGGAGTTACTGAATTGGATGTTGGGATGAAATTTGAATGACTCCTAAAGAAAAATGATTTGGGGTTTTGGGGAGCCTGTTGTACATGCCCCAAGAACAAGGATTTTGGTTTTGTTCATTGATGTATTCCTAGCACCTGGAATGGTGCCTGGCACTTAATATAAACATTTGATTAATAAAAATGAAAAGTGGGTGATACTTATGGGGATTTTGTTTGATGGCCCACAATTAACATTACCTTAAAGGAAACTGTCTAAAAGGGCCTTTTTCTTGAGCACAGGTTAAATTTAGAATGTTATTCAGGCTTATTCTTGGCTTTCAGAGGCTAATTTATTTATAACTGTGATTAAACAGTTCTATCTGGAATAAGAGAAGAGTGGGAAGGGAAGTTAAAAAGGGTAAGGTAGGAGGTGGGGTAAGTGTCTATTGATCTCTAGATTTTTGAAGTTGCTACTGGGAGGAATTAGAAGAGTAAGCAAGAGCTGTTTTTCTCTGACTTTTAAATTTCTTTTTACCCCAGAGTACAGGGGCTCAGGTCCAGGTGGCAGGGGATATGCTCCCCAACTCAACTGAGCGGGCCATCACTATTGCTGGCATTCCGCAATCCATCATTGAGTGTGTGAAACAGATCTGCGTGGTCATGTTGGAGGTAAGCCCTCAGGCTCATGCTGAGCATGGGGGGAGGGTGATTCTAGGGGAGATAGATTAATCTATATTTAGTAAGACTAGAATTAGGTGAAGCTATTAGAAGCCTCCAGTGGGGGCAGGGAAGAAGTTCCCTGAGTTCATATTTTCCTTCCCCTAGCTTTGGCTTTTCTTATAGCCTGAGCAAAAAAATAGGAACTGCTAAGCAGCAGTGATCTTTTGGGTTATAGCAATTCTAGTGGGATTGATAAGGGAAGATTCACTGCTTGGACTGAGTGGATAAAAGATGTATCTGGGTTCCTGAGAAGCTAAGTTAAGTTGCCTTTTGGATTACAGAATTTTGGTACATTCAACTTTGACACATTCTTTAAATTTCTGTGTTTTGTGGCAGGATTATATTCAGAGTGTTAGTTGTATAGGAAAAAAATGTATCCATAATGGTGTTTATGAATGACTTATGAGGTCGTAGTATGTTATTTAATTAAAGCAAGAATAGCAAAATTAAGGGACATTAAACCTTTTTAGAATTGTCATCTGGAGTTGGACCCAGATTGGTGACAAACGAAAGTAGAATTACCAAGTCCAGTTTAGAAAAATACTGATTGAGGCTTTGAACTACTTGCGGACAGGGTCTGTATTATCGTAGATGTAACATTTAGGTGCTGTATTTTATATTTTGGCTTAATTACCTATTCAGGCCAAAATTAAGATCCTAAAAGTCACCAACCAAAATGTACATATGTACACGTAGAGGTTTTTCATGTTCGTTAGACTTTGAAAACATGGAAATAATGCCTAAATTATTACAGGGGAATCTGCCTTGATGAGAATTAGTGTGAGCTGTGTAGTCCATGGACCATCTTGCTACTTTAAAGGCAAATAACTACAGATGATTTCAGATTAGATCTAGCCAGAGACAACATTGGTAGGTGAGGGGATGGAAATACAGTTTTTAATTTAACTGACCTGTGTGAGCTTAAGCCACACAGCTGAAGCAGCTTTGAAACCTTATCTCTTTTTGTTTTTTTCCCCTCTGACTCTCTCCCAGTCCCCCCCGAAGGGCGTGACCATCCCGTACCGGCCCAAGCCGTCCAGTTCTCCGGTCATCTTTGCAGGTGGTCAGGTAAGAAAATTCTTATTGCTGGGCTAGATATGAACAAGGATTATGTTTGAAATGTCCACTTTGCCAGCAGCACATCAGGCCACTCTGCATGCTTGCTGAAAGCTGTACTCTGGCCATAGTTTGACATGCTTTTAGTTTTATTTTTTGTACTGGAGAAAGCTATGAATGCCAAGCCCTTACTTAATTTTTAGCAGGCAATGGGAGTTTTGTAGGCACTCGAAGAGGTCGTTTACTTGGTAATTTAAGGTGGGTTGGCTTAGAAGAAAGGGTTTAATTGCCTCGGTGTCACTACTCTCCCTATCCCCACCCCATCCATGTTTTTTTATGTGGGGTATTCTTTAGAGGTCTGAATAAAGGTAGCAAAGAGTTGGACCTCTGAAGGAGATTCTGGATGGTGGTCTCAAAATTGGGGGTCCAGAACTTGAGTGTCCTACAAACTTCCCCTTCCCCCCACCTCACCTCCCCTACTCCTACCCCTTTACCCCCAAACTCCAGTGTATTGTCCCCCAGGTTCTTAACCTCATAAAGACTGGTTTGAACCCACATGGCATAACAAATCAGCTGGGGCAGGCGTTCAGTGTGCAAGAATAGAAGGGGAAGAGCATGTTGGGCAATGGTGCTGTGACCTTTGGTGTTTGAGTAAGAACACCAAAGCACCCCCTTTGGCTTTTTCTCCTTCATCCACCTAAACACAGGATCCTTGGCACATGGATGGTTTATTATGAAGTTAGATTTTTGTAACAAGCACTGATCACCATGGTAGTTTTATGCTTTGTTGGTTAGCATTTGAGGAGTAGGTAGGTCAGTTTTTAAAATACTGGGTTTCAGGTTGGAATAGTGACCTTCATTTTGGTACCTGCCTAAACAAGTGCTTTACTCAAAATTCCTTTACCCACTTGGGGCTGTCCTGTTTACAAGCACAATTATTTAGTCCCATCTTATATTTGAACTGGGGAAGCATAAACTTGAAGTCTGTCTCATTCACATTCTGTTGAGTTGGCATAAAACTGAACAAGCTTTTGGGGTCTTAGTCTGTCATGTAGTTTTGGGAATTTTCACAAGAAGTTAATCATGTCACAGTGTTACCTTGAAACAGTTGAGTACCTTGCTTTTAACACTAACCTTATACAAACTGGTTTGATCAAAGGGCTTTCAGTCAGTTTGGTTAGGGGCAGGATAAGCAAAGACCCAGCCAGTGTCAGTGTAGCAAGGCTTAGCTTTAGGAGTTTTTTCCCTTCTCCCCAGGAACTCCAGGTTCCTGCTCTTCTGGATTCTTCTACTCCCCTTTGGGATTATAAAGACTCCCATGCTGTGCCACAGCAATCCTTTCTATTTACAATTCTTCATTTCCCTTTCCCTCCCTTACCCACTTCCCTCTTCTGACCTCTTTGCTTTCCCTCCCTCCCCTTTATTCAGTTGACCACCCTCTAAAAGCTTGCAGCTTCTTCCAAGAGTGGCCGTCATGGATTATTCCCACAGGCCTTTTTAATGGACCAGTTCATGCAATGTCCACAAATGGACCTGTGTCTTTTGTTCCTTTGTGATAAAGTGGGCTTTATAGGGGTTCAACTTAATCCCCCACTGACCAGGAGCTGCCATCAGCTCTGTTGCCCTGCCCCTTCATTCTTACTAAAAATAGCCCAATTGTGCAGTGTGAAATCTGCCTCTAGGTAACTTTTTTTTTTTTTTAATTGACTTATTGCAGCTCGTTTCAAATTGTGTTGTGAGCTACTTTTTAAAGGAAAAGAAAAAATTAAACAACTTTTTTTGTGTGAATTTCATGCTGGTGACAAGGTGCCGGATTGACAGCCCTGGAGACTGAAATCCTCTATTTATCCACAGGACAGGTACAGCACAGGCAGCGACAGTGCGAGCTTTCCCCACACCACCCCGTCCATGTGCCTCAACCCTGACCTGGAGGGACCACCTCTAGAGGTGAGAGGGGATGTTCAGTCTCCAAGGCTCACTCAATCCTTCCGCCTCAGCCGAGACTGCCAACACGCGGGGGGCCAGTGGCGCTGGTGATTTTTGTGCTGTGGACACCACCTGTCCACGGGGACCTGGACTGACCCCCCCCACACCTCATTTCACACAGACCGCGTAGCCCACCAGATGGTAACACCAACTCTCTTTTTTTTTCTTTTTGTTCAACCCCTCTTCCCCATCTCCCACTCCTCCCCCATTTTCACCTTCCCACCCCCACCTGGGTGCACTTTTGGGGGTGTACTGGCCACTGATGTGAGAAGCCTCACATCCTTTTAGCCAGCCACTCCTTCCTTCCCTGCCCTTCCTGCTCCTTCTTGTCCCCCGCCCCATTGCCCTGAAGACCCAGCTCCTTTTTCTGAGTTTATGGTGTGGGGGGAGGAGGGCATAGTGGGAGCTGCAAGTGCCTTTTATGGAGGGGGAGGTGGGAGAAGGCAGGACTTAGAACACAGTGATTTTTTTGTGTGTGTGTTCTTCAGCCAGCTCCCTAGTATTTAGGGACTCAGCTAGATTAAGTGCATTTAAGGTCTATATAGGTAGATGTAGAGAAAAATAAGATAGGGAAAAGGAAGTGTTTCAAAACATGCCATGTAGGTTTGTGCAAACACAAATCACTCACATCACCATAATTGGTTAGAGGGGTTGGGGTGGTTTTAGGGAAGAGACCGTTTTCCTCCAAGGCTATCTGTACATGGAGAAAGAAGGGGGACAGTGCTTAATCCCACTTCTCACATTTTCCTTAAGAAACTGATGTGTATTTTGCCTTTGATTACAGGGAACATGGCTATGGTTCCCTTTATAGGCTTCCCAGAATAAGTCATATCTAGGGTTCAAAGAAGGTCAACTCCGGTCTGACTGTATTTGTGAGATAGTATTTACTGCCTCAATCCCTGGCCTCCCCATTCTCTAGTTCAACTCTGGCTTCTTGGCTAGTCGAAAGCTGTCTTTTTCTCCCAACTGGGTGGCTGTCCGTGATTGGTTTTTAATAGGAACTGTTTTCCTCCTTTTGTAGGCCTATACCATTCAAGGACAGTATGCCATTCCACAGCCAGATGTAAGTTTTGTTTTCACTTCTTCCTTTTCCCATCCAAAATTGTCTTACTCCTTTCTTCCATGTAGGCAGAAGTGAGTTGGGTCTTAAAACAATTGCAGTACTAAGTTGTTTTCCTCACAAGGCAAATCCCATATTTCAGCCCTTAAATAATCTTTAATCATAGTGGCATGGCACTTTCTTTGTCTTTTGACATTTAATCCCTGGAAATTATAATCTGGCAGAATATTAGGTTCTACTTTCCTTGCATTCCAGTTTAACTTGTCTAAAAGAGAAATGTTCGTGGTATTCTGTCATTTGTTATTTCCGGGCACAATTTAAATTGACAGTGGACTGTGCATCTCCTTATGGAGTCCTTTCCATGGGGCAGTGGGAAATGGGTTTGCCTTTGGGTATTCCTCAATTTGAGGTGATAATTTTAAAAGCATCTGGGGGGTGGGAACAGGGCTTATTTACACAAGGAGGGATAGGAAGCTCAATACTTGGATATTCAACTCAATAGAAGCTTCCTTGTATTCAGGCTTTGTTTAAAGGCGTTTCTTTTTTCCCTTTTCCTCTATCCTTACTAACCCTTTTAGGTGCTGAGCATTAGGCTAGGGAAGTTGAGTTTCGCTCTGGATTAGTGGTAGTTCCCAGGAGGGGAAGTATACTACTTGAAAAGGGGTTATTTTACAACAGCCAAGACTGTATATATAGATGAAGAAAAGCTGTAGAAACTAGTAGTGGGGGATGGCTAAAACTCACTCAATTTCATCTTAATCTCTCTCCTCCTTACAGTCTCCTTGCATCCCCCTCATTTTCCCTTCTCCCAATACTGACAATCCTGCATGGTGTGTTTTCCCTAGCACCATTGCACAGTTTATTTACCTACCCTGTCTGTGCTTGTCCCTGAGGCAACATTGGCAATGGCTGCAAACACCTTCATTAAATAGCCCACAAGGGGATGGTTGTTGGGCGGGTGCTGCTGCTTTTCTTTTCACACACCCAGAATGCATTCATTCTCTTGCACTGATTCCTGTTCTAACCCTTCATATTCTCCCCATCCCCAGGATTGGGATGGAAGCCCCATTCCTATGCTCTGTCATAGTTTGAGTAGTAGAGTCAACTTTGGGGATCAGGAGCTCTGTGTTTTCAAAATTGAATGTGCTTGAGCCCTGGCTCTGTTACTCTTCTAATGACAACCTCTCCTATTTCCTCCCTGCAGTTGACCAAGCTGCACCAGTTGGCAATGCAACAGTCTCATTTTCCCATGACGCATGGCAACACCGGATTCAGTGGTATGGATACCTCAGTATTTATTTTTGTAAGGTGTAGTGCAAGACAGAGGCCAGCCCCAAGGTCTCAGTTTGACATCTGTTTAAGACAAACTTCGTTACCCAGCATCCTGCTGGTTTAAACTTGCCTATCTTCTGTGGCTAAACCGAAGGAGGTAATGTGTTTAACTTGGTTTTCATTTGGGATGAGTTATTCTAAAAGAAAAGAAAAAAAGGCCCTGGAAGGTTTGGGGTGAAGTTAGGGGATGCTTGTCAGGCAAAGGGTAGGATGACATTTCTTCTAACCCATTCTCACTGCTACCCCTTTGATCTGATTGGCACCCCCTTTCTTTCCACCAGCTTTCACAGACCTGGGTAGACAATCCATTTGTGCCAAATTGTGTAGTGTTTTTTGTTTTTTGTTTTGTTTTGTTTTGGGCTTTTTTTCTGTATAAGGAATAACTTGTCCGATAGGGTTAGGATGAGACCACCAAACTCATTTTCACTTGTATCTTAACAGGCATTGAATCCAGCTCTCCAGAGGTGAAAGGCTATTGGGGTAATGATTAAAAAAAAAATCTGTAGTATTCTACTGTTATATTAATAAACTGGTGGGAGTCTTGTTTCACTGCCCATGACATACCAGCAACATGCACATGGCAGAAAGAAGCTGAGAGAGCAAAAGGGTGGGCCTGGTGCCCCTGTGTGTCCCTTGATGGATCTGGCCATCCCCCTTCTAAAGTGTTGAGTTTAGCAACCGCAGCTGAGAGCAGGGCTAGCCTTGAGAGTTAGTTAGCTGCCCTGGTCCAGTCCAGGTGCCATTATAGATGGGTATGGGTGTTTGCTGATCAGATTTTTTTTTTTCTTTTTCTTTGGAAAACAAAATAAAATCCAGAACAAGTTAATGAGCAATTGAGCAAAAGACAGGGAATAAATGTGGAGAAATGAATTTCCGTCACCTGACTGCCATTTCATTCTCTCTGACCTTGGAGTGTAGGTTAAGATAGTCTGTGTGTGGTGGTGGTGGTGGGGGGGGCACTGTTAATCTGATACAGGTATATTTAAAGCAACTCTGCATGTGTGCCAAGAGTCCATGGTACCCAATAACAGGCACAATATTGGCACTGGTGCTAGTGAGCATCAGGTGAGATAAAATTGGAACACAACAGGAAATTCTAAGAAAGGGAGAAGTGCAGAAGGGCTTGGTTAGATTTTGGTCCTGTTTAAGGATACCACACACCCTTTCCCCTTGCTTCCAACACCTTAATAGGCTGGGCTTTGCAGGAAATGGCATGAAATCAGCTTTCCTGAGTGTACAGAGGAACCTTTCCAGCATTATTTCTACACCCCTCTACCCCTCTCTACTCTTTGAGGTTTCCAAGTTAGTGATGAATCCCAACAGCCAATGCTGGGTTTCCAGTTTGTTTCCTTCTGTTAGGTTAATGTGCAAGTCATTTGGGGTTTGTATGCTGTGCATTGAACTTCCTTGCTCTCTTCTGTCTTTTAGCAGGTTTGGATGCATCTGCTCAGACTACTTCTCATGAACTCACCATTCCAAATGATGTAAGTATAGTTAGTTGGGTTGAATGGGATGAAAATAAGATAATTGGTTTTAAAGAATAGAAGGCTGAGCAGTGTCATGTCACTTTTAAGGCCCTGGGAAAGAAAATGGGTTTAGATAGCAAATTAAAAACTTTAATTTAGTATCTGGAATAAAGATTGATGGGAGAAAGTTGGTAAAACTTGTTGAGTATTCATCAGGCAGAATTTTTCTCAAGTAGGAATTCCCATTTGCCTTTGTTTCTTGTAGAATCCGAAGCCTTGTCCTTAAAGTGCAGTGGTCTTTGGATGTTGTATCTGTGCTATTCAATATGGTACTCACTAGCCAAATATGTCTACTTAAGAAGAATACATTCAATTTCTCAATCTTGCTAGCCATGCCACACTTGATGGGTTCAATAATCACATCTTACTAGTACCTAGTACCTACAGTACTGGACAGTGCAAATATAGACCAATTTTTTACTTCTTTTCTCAAGGCAAACGCATTAGAAATTAGCTAGAATCCTCGTCAATATAGTAAAGTGGTAATCATGACAGGATGAGTTTTAGGCATCTTTGTTACCCCAAAAACCAAAGGTACCTTTATCTTTATTTCTAGTTTTATTACGACAAATTAGGTTTCTTATTATCTTGGCTCTGTTTTATTTTGTCTTTGGATTTACTCTTAAGAAAATGAGCCCTAGCCCTGCTCCTAGGTAATCAGTCGGCTTAGTTGGCTCGCACCTGTAGTGGTCAGACAAAAGAATAGGCAGGAGTTGAGAGCAATCTGTAACTCAATCAGGAGTAGTATATCAGTAGAGAATTTAGGATGCAGATAGTAGCAGTTTCTACTGCCTTGTTCATGGGCCCAAGCTATAGAAGGTTGAATGGGTGGGATGGAATTCTTGGACCTTGCCATGCTATTCTTAATTTGGTGTGCATTCTTGTTTTTCTTCCTAAAGTTGATTGGCTGCATAATCGGGCGTCAAGGCGCCAAAATCAATGAGATCCGTCAGATGTCTGGGGCGCAGATCAAAATTGCGAACCCAGTGGAAGGATCTACTGATAGGCAGGTTACCATCACTGGATCTGCTGCCAGCATTAGCCTGGCTCAATACCTAATCAATGTCAGGTAAGGGTTCCCTACTGTTTTTGTCTCATCGATGTCAGCACACAAGTAATGTGTGTGTTGGGGAAAGCTAAAATGCGTTACTAAATGTGGGATTATTTGGGAATGGGAGTAGGGATATATAGAGATGGGGAAAGTTTAAGTCTAGCCCTGTTTTTAGCCATCCTTAGTGTAGTAGAAAAACCAGATTGTAGTAAGTTTGCATGGGGTTGGGGGAGGGAGGATAGAATGCTTGGATTTGACTTTTGGTGTTTTGGGGAGTATGTCTTCATTATTAGTAGGTCAGGTGCTCTGGCTGGAGCCACCCATACTTAGAACCAAATGTGGGTCTCTTGCTGTACATGTCATATAGACCAGTATTTCTTTCACTGATTGGGCTTAGGCTCCAAAGTACCCTTAATTAAAGTAAGGATAATGAAGTAATGTGACAGCAAGGAATTTCTTGGAAGCATCCATTGCCATTTATTCTGAAAACATCAATTTTTCCCAAATTGGAAATGTGGTTCGTTGTTCAGAGCCTGTGGGAAAGCGGAGGCACAGGTTTTGGAATATTTCAGAAATGCCTAGTGTGTCCACCCCCCCCCCCCAAATTA